CTTAAGGACTGCAAAGGAGAAGGAGACCCAGAGGGTGTAGAGAGACCTGAGCCCTAGGGGCTGCAGGGGAGAGGGGAGAACCGGGGGCTAAAAAGAGGAATGGTGCAGGGACACCTGAGACCTAGGTGCCGCAAGGGAGAGGGGAGACTTGAGGCTGTGAGTGTGAAGGGAGATGCAGGAGGCTGAAATGGAAAGAGAAGGCTGCAGCATAGCGAGGACACCCAGGGGTTGCAATGGAGATGGGAGATGCTGAGGGTTGCAAAGGAGGGGGAAGACCAGAGAGGTGCAGGGGAGAGGAGAGGCTGGGGGCTGAGATCAGCTCCACCATGCCCCAGTTCCATGTCCTCGCTCCCGTCCTCGCTGCAGGTCGCTTGGGGATGCTTCTTGCTCACCCTGGGGTGAGCTGCAGGCTGGCAGCTGGGTCAGGTGGATGGCTTTCCTTCTTGGGTGGGAAAGTTGGGAAAAACATAGAGGTGGATACTCACACTTTCATACATAATTCTTTTTGCTTATTCTCATCCCTGGGACCGGACTTTCCAATGTGTCAGACGAAAGCATTTTCTGCCCGCGAGAATGGGGCTGCAAATAGACTCGAGGTGAAGAGAAAAAAAGGAGCTTTGAGGTTAAAAACGGCTCTGGTGGTTTTTTAGGAGTCCTCGGGCCACTTGCCGTTGGTTTGATCAGTGACCCGGAGCTCTCCAGAGCTGTAAACATCACGTCTGCCCCAAAGAGTCTCCCTCCTGCCCCTCCCCTTGCAAATTCCTCTTGCAAACTGTAACCTGTGCTGCACCGAGTGGAAAAAGGCATTATTACCTCCCCAAATAACAGGGGGGTGATTGGAGGCCAAGCTTGCAGCTCTCGGCGTGGGGATGGGGGCTTAGATCATTTCTATTCCTCCCTGCAGGGGGAGAAAAAAACTCACCCAACTTTTTCAAGGCAGGGGGTAAAGCAGAGGATGATGTTGGCCGGCGAGAGGGTTTTAGACCATCTGAGACATTTTACACCCGACTCTGTGTTGTTTGGCAATTCATGGGAGGGAGATAAGGGGTTTGAAATATCTAAATGGACGCTAAAAGGCATAGGGAGGATTAAGGGTTGAAGGTTTCCACTGCTCTCATGGAGAGCCAAGAGCTTCCAGAGATGAAAAGATACAGAAATACCCCGACTCCTGGCTGCTTGTGGGAGCGCTGCCTTCGAGGCACACCTCAAACCCAAACCCGAGCGGGCATTAAAGAAAAACACCCCACGGCGATGAAATCCTGCCTGCCTTGTAGTCAGTCGGAGTTTTGTCTCGGACTTCAAGGGAGCCGGGAACTCGTCCCTAGAGGTTCTTAAAATCCTTTGTAATAACAGCACTTCACTAGTAACCCTTTACACCAGGCGCTAGGACAGCCGAAAAGCAGCCTGAATGGAAAAAATACGCTGCAGATGGCGGAGAAAACACCCAGAAATATTCCTTGCTCCCCAAAGCGAGTCAGAGAGCCGCAGCTGGGGCAAATCCAGAGCTGGAGGGTCAGGTGGGATGAGCTTTTCCCAGGGCAAGGGGGTTCCCTGACTGCTCCAGCCATTCCCGCTCCCATCCCCAAGCCTGCCTTTGAGGGGGTCACGGCTCGGGGATGCCAGCGTGCCGTGGGATGGGTTGTGGTGAGACTCCAGAGGTGCAATGTGAGGGCGGGCAGGTTTTTTCTGTTTATTTTATTATCGGCTTTCTCATGGGGTGGGAAACCACCGCAAAGACCACAAAGAGCAGCCCAGAGCAGTGTCTGAAGTGAATAACTGAAGGGAAACCCATTTAACTGCTATTAATACCGCTGCTAAAATAAGCGAGCTGTGCGCCGGAGACAGAGAAGACCCCTCTAAGAATTCTGCCCCTGGATTGTTTGGGTTTTTTTAGACTGAAGAAAGGTAAAAACAACACCACCACCACAAAAAGGGGGAAATCCTTGAGAGCTTTATTCTCCTCCTGGCTGCTCCCCCGAGACAGAAATGTGATTTTTTTATGTTTACGAAGTTGCAGCCCTTTCCGTGAGTTCCAGGTGCCCGAGGACTTTGGAAGGAGTGAGAGGCAGAGTTAATGAGGTGAGAAGGAAAAAAAAAAAACACATTTGTTGTAACAGATCAGACTGAAACATCTGCAGGGCACGGGCACCTGCGTCAAGTTGGGAAATGCAGTTTTTGTAATTTGTCTCCTCTGCAGAAAAAGAGGGGGGAGAAATAAGAAAGCTGGAGAGAAGGGAGAGATGAATAGCTGAAGATTTGGACTAGTCTAAAGATTTATCTTTTTTTTTTTTTCCCCCTTCTTCTCAAGCAGTTACACAAACCTCTTGGAGAGGAGGGTGAAAAAAAAGAATAAAAAAAAAAAAGAGTGAAGCAGCGAATGAAGTCTTGCCGTGTGCAGGGTTAAATGGAAACACACAATCAGACCATAACTCAGGGTGTAATTCAAGCCATACGGTTTGTCTGTCTGTTGACTCCAAAGGTTGTATCAAGGCTTGGCGAGGGAGGGGACTGAGAGGGGATAATCCAAACTTTGTCGTGATTCATAAACCACTCCTTTGCAATTGGGATAATAGATCTCTCTCTCGCGACCGCTCGCTAAACTTCAGAGCTAACCGTAGCTCATGCTCTTTCTCCTTTCAGGTTGTTCATCTCCAAGGAGGAGCGATACTCAAGCTGCAGGGAAATAACGTTGTGCAGAAAATTAGGAAGGCTTTTCTACTTCTTTTTTTTTTCTTTTTTTTTTCCTTTGGAGAAGCTGATTTACTTCGGCGACTGGGAGAAAATGAAGCCGAGCCTGCGATTTTTCTTAGCTGGTTTTCTCTCTTTGATTCTGCAGACGGGGCTGTGCCATGGGATAAAATGGATGTAAGTACCCGGTTATCTCTCTGCATTTTTAAAGTCTTTGTAGGCATTGCTGGTCTCTTTACCCATTTTTGCCACTACTGAAAAACCGTTTAAAGAGCAGCGAGTGCTGCGTTTCTCCAGGCATTCATCGGTTTCGAGTGTGTGTACTAGGAGCTTGTGCTAACAATACGTCTCCATCTTCTTTCCAAAATATGCATGATTTAAGGCTTGCTTCTTTTTTTTTTTTTTTTCTCTCCTTCTCATTGATACTGGGAGGAAAGGCACACACACTTGAACGCTCACATGAGCCACTTAATGAAGTTTCTAGCGTTAGGCTCCTGCTGGGAAACTCTCCCACCGGGACCGCTGGTCGTGCTGAGCAGGAGCTGAGAGCACTAGGGACGGGCAGCTGAGATAATGCCTCCAATCTCCAACCACAGGGGATGCTTGACAGATAACACAGGGGTTTTTTTCCAAAGACCTTTTAACCTTCAGATTTCAGGAAGGGTGTTAAAAATGAGGAGGGAAGGAGGGTGAAGAAATACCAGGCGGTGCGGCAAAATCTGGATTGAGTTTCCTCGGAGGTAATGTCAATGCAAACAAAGTGAAAACATCGCTATCTCATTTCTTTGCTTAAGCAAGCAATCAATTAGTTGCTTACTGCAAAATAAACAAACAAGCCCCTCCGGCACCCATCTGGTTTCATGTCCTCGATGAGTGATCTGTCTTTTCTACTTGGGTTTGAAGATGTGCGCAGAATAAATAAGGGGATGTGGGCCAGCCTCAAATGAGTATCTTCCGTAAAAGAAAAGCACAATTACATGCAATGCCAGGAAGAGTCCCTCGTGTGGGGTATAGTGTGTCGAGGTGAGGATCTTGGGGTTAGATGGGAAAATCAAGATGAGAGGTTCCTGGTTTTTTCCTCCTTCCGTGCTACGTCTAATTCCCATCCCACTGTCCCAGTCATCGTCATCTGAGGCTCTCCCCACACCACCTTTTGTAAAGTCTCTCTTAAATATGGACATCTTAGAATCATAGAAACGTAGACTGGTTAAGGTTGGAAGGGATCTTGAAGATCATCTAGATCCAACCCCACTGCTGTGGGCAGGGACACCTCTCTCCCACCAGCCCAGGTTGCTCCAAGCCCCGTCCAACCTGTCCTTGAACGCTTCCAGGGATGGGGCATCCGCAGCTTCTCTGGGTAACCTGTGCCAGTGCCTCACCACACTCAGGGTGTGGAACTTCTTCCTTACTTCTGATCTATATCTACCCTCTTCAGGTTAAGAGGTCTTGTTGGAGTCAGTGTTTTTCACTACCCTGCATGGGGTCATGGGGAAGAGGACCTTCCAGATGGCAATTCATGCTCTCCAAAGAGAGGCATCCAACACAAATGTCAAGAGATGTCCTCATGGACTGCAAGGAGCTGGTTGAGACCACACAACCAACTTTTATGGGCATAAGGAGAAGCAGGGTGAATCCCTCCGTAGGGTGTTTAAGTGCACGTGCTCAGGCAGGAGGAGTAGTCAACTACTTTAGGACATCATCTCTCTCATTACTCCACCTTGGAAGCAGAAGACAGTTAAGATCTGATTTGCTGTACACCACCATGGCTTTATACCTTGTAGTAGTCACCACAGCTAAATTACACAGCCTGGCTATTTCTTTTTGCCTGCTTCCTCGAGGATTTAGGCTCTCAGCACCTCACACAGGGTGGGCATCTCCTCTCTGCGGGATCTTTAGCAACGTGCCCATGGGCTGGCAGAGCCTGGGCTCGTTTGCAACTTTTATTTCTATGGAGCACAGAAATAAAACTGTTCTGCAGCATCCTGATTCTGCAGGGCACCTTGATTTACAGACCTATCTCCAAGTGGAGGGACTCACTCGTACCCTTGGCGTTAGGGTCCCACTTAAGCAAGATGCTAAACCTGCAATGAGGGCCCTGGGTTCCTCCAAGGGGCAGGGGTGAGATGAGTTTCAGAGGGAACCTGATAGCCAGGTGACAAGCTGTAGACACAAAAAGAAGGCGGGACGAGGTTTTCTAATAGCTTTGTTGGCAGAAGCAGCCTTTTGGCTGGTAAGCAGTTAAGCTGCAAGCGTTGTTTTTGGGGATGGGGGTGTAGAGAAGCGGCTGGAAGAGAAGACACCATGGTTGCTGCTCCTCCCCTTCCCAGCAGACACGTTCCCTCTATCGGGAAAAGAAGAAGCGAAGTGGGGAAGATGAAAGCTGGGATTATAGTGGCATTTGAAGCATGCACCGCATCCAGATGTGCCAGGGGGTCTTCCCTCACACCTGCTTAAAACCTGGCAGAGACCTGTGCTCCCTGTCCCAGGGCTGGGATGCTGCCAGTTGAGATTTCACAAAATTCTGCCTTTTTTTTTGCCTTTTTTTTTTTTTTTGGTTAGGTTTTGTTTTGTTTTCATTTGCTGTTTCTCCTTCCTTCCCCACCCTTGGTTTCCTATGGAAACACGGGCCAATTTTCCCACCCTCCCCTTCACTCTCTTCTCCATGCCGCGGCGGTGCTGCCGTCCTTGGGTCTTGGGGACCATTCTTGGATAAACTTTTGGTGAACAAGAGATCGATGCTACCAAGCAACACCTCAGAGCTGCAATCCCAGCCCTGAAGAAACGTGCTGGGTGCTGCACAACCAAACCCTGCCCGTTCCCCTTCAGGGACAGGGAAAAGAGGGGGGAAAAAAGGACAGGACGAAGAGCGAGGGAAGTGCTACAAGATGTTTTTTTGGTCCACCCGCTGCGCCGTTGTTGTAGGCACGGTGCCAGAGGAGAGCTTCAAAGAGGGTTTGGGAGGGGAGGGAGAAGATAAGGAGGTTGAGTTTTACCAGCCTGAATAAGAGGGAGAGACTGATACGAAAGGCGATAGGGAAATTCAATTTCGATTTGTCGCGTGATGTAATCGCAAAGGGAGAGCAGGGGAGAAGAAAAATGCTTTTCAGCCATTTAGGACTTCCTGCAACACAAATAACCCCTGCAAATTAGCAAAAGCGAGGAGAAGGTAAAAAGGAGCGATTCGTTTTGCTTTATTTGGCTTATTTTTACAAGTTCTCTGGTGCAGATCCCCAGCTGTTGTAAGGGCACCGTGCCCTTCCCTGCCACAGAGGCTGAGCATCCCATAAACTTGCTTTTGCTGCTGGAGAAACTTCCTACTTTAGCCTCTTCTATCTGAGCTCCGGGGAGCTTCTTGGGTGTGAAATCAGGTTATGGACAGATCTTTGCAGGACAAGGGCTGTCCTGGAGAGGCAGCCTTTCCATTCAGAGCACACGAGCCCCTTAGCCTTATTTTTGCATGCTGCTTTTTGCAAACACTTTCTCATCCTTATTTTTTTGTGTTATTTTGTGGTCCTCAGAGCTTCTTTTCCATCATAGAGGCCAGAGAGGTGAGGCAGCTATCTTCTTCAATAGGAGACGTCTTAGGGCCAATCATGTAGGAACTCTTACCGCCTTACCCATCTCCTTTTGCACCCCCTTCAGCTTTCCCAAGGGAGCTTGGGTTTGGCCGAGCAGGTTGCTGAAGAAAGAGCTGAAAAATTCATGGGCACTAGAGGGAGCTGCAGCCAGATGTGCACAGAAGTCTGCAGATGTTGGGATATCTGAGCACAGAGTGTCTTTTGAAGTACTTCTGCATCTCCAGAGGTTTACATCTCCTCTGCCCAAGTGCCAAGACACAGACTGAGTGTAACCTTCAACACAAGAATGGTTGTAAAGAGAAGAAGTGGCCTCAGGTTGCTCCAGGGACAGTTTAGACTGGATATTAGGAAAAATTTCTGTACTGAAAGAATGATGAGACGTTGGAACAGGCTGCAGTGGTGGAGTCCCCATCCCTAGAGGTGTTCAAAAAACGTGTAGATGTGGCCCTTGGGGACATGATTTAGTGGTTGTGTTGGGTTGACCATTGGACTTGATGATCTTAGAGGTCTTTTCCAACCTTCTTGATTCTATGATTCTATGAAATGCAGCAAGTTTGTTTTTTTTTTTTTTAAACTGCATGGCTTGCAGGACCAGCCCATGACAGCAGGTGGTGGAGGCAGGAATCCCATCATTTTTAGGTGGAGCTAGGTCACTTTGGGAAGTCCCTGCCTGTCTTTGTGGCTGCCTGGACATGCCCCATGCTCTCTGCAGCCATCCCCACCTGAGCACCATTCCCAGCTACGAGATCATCTTCGATGCACGATTCCCATGGTTAAACCACAGCCCTTCAGGAGGAAAAAGGTGACTTAGCCACGTGAACCCAGGATGTCCCCTCACACCACAGCTCACCAACCTCAAGCAGTCCTTCTGCAGCCAGCAGAAGGCAGGGGAGAAAAATGGAAAGATTTTTTTGCACTTCCTGGCAGACCGTGCTTCTCTCCCTCCATCTGGGGTTTGGTGGGGTTGCTGGGACACCGAGGAGACCGTCTGCCTGGCAAAGGGGCTGCTAGATGAGCTGCTGTGAAAGACCTGCAGGAGGGGAGCAGGCTGGGGGCGAGGAAGATGGTGGCGGAGGGGGGATCACGACACGAATATGGCTTTGAAGTTTGCTCTTCACTCAGTAGGCAGCTCGGGAAAACTTGACAAAGCTCCACGGCCTTCCTCAGTGAGCCAACTCGCTGCTGGCATTGACTTCAGTCAAGCTTGGGCTAGGAGTCAATGGCCTTGTGCCCACCACTGCCAGTGCTGGATTTGGCACCGTATCTGAAAGCAGCTCTTATTTTAAGCTTTTTACTTCACAGTTGTGTTTTTTTTTTCCCCACTCCTCTCCCTCTTCCTTCTCTTCTTTTTTTTTTTTTTTTTTTCCTGCTGTATAAACCCTGCTTCTCTGTTTGAAAAGGCTTTGCAGAACCAGTGGAAGCATTTACTGGGGAACATGGTGGCTTTCCCAGTGCTTGTGGTCCCCGGACCAGGATTGAAGTGGGACAGAGTAGCAAGGACAAGGGCTGCCTCTGACTACCAGAAGCTTAGACAAGGTTGTTAGTCCTGCAAGCCTTTTACACTTAAAAACCTGAAAAAAACAAGGCTTCTTCAGATTAACAACCTTCCATGAGGTTGAGTGCAAAGACAAATCCCAACCTATGACTTTTTTTTTAAAGTTTAACACTTCACTCTCCAAGGCCTTGTAATTTTGCCTAAATCTTTTTTGTTTCATCCAAATCCCCGCAAGACTAAGGGATTTAAGAGTAGGCATAAAACAAAAAAACAAAAGGAAATGCTTTTGCAGAAAGCAAAGCAAAGAGTTTGGAGCAGAAGTTCACGGTTGCACCTACAGTCCCTCCGTGAGACCTTCTCGAGGCACATCACCCAAGGGAGGATGGAGAGATGTCCTCTGGAGAGAGCTCACATCAGAAAGAGAGGAGATTTAAGGGTGTTTTAAAGGGTACCAAGTGCTTCACTGCTCAGTTCTGGGAGTTTTTCTCCTTTTGACTTGACCATGAGCAACGTCCTACTCACAGTGGTCCTTGCGGACCAAATGATGTATGGGTTTTCACTGATAATCTGCTCCCATCTGAAGGTACTTCTCCTATGAATAGTCTTCTCATGGAGCCCGGATCTGCAGGGATGGGCCCATACCTCTCAGAGCACCTAACACTGTAGAGCATTCATGTTTTCAAATGAATTTATTAACTGCCTGAGATAATTAAAAGAGTAAACGAAAGTCATGATCCCTTCATGAATCATATTTCCTCTGTAATTACATTTATGGGTTTCTGTCAGTATCCATAACTTCAATTGAAAGCCCTGCTGTGCTATACATAAAGCAGAAGGTGTTTGGTTTGGGGCCTGTTTATTTAAAGGGATGGGTCAAATATGTGTATTTTTAAAAAAAAAACCCGACCAACCACCCCTGAGTTATCCTCAGCTTTCTGGAGAATGAAGGGCGGGGCAGGAGAGTCAAGGGAGGAGAGCAAGACGTTAGCAGGAGGAAACAGTGAAAAGCAGGATTTATGGGGTGGCAGCAGGTAAAACCCGCATGTGCTGCTTCTCAGATGAAAGGTGTGAGTCCGAAGAAAGATGATTATCAGGGATATTTTTCCCCAGACTGAAGACTAAAGGCTGTTCTGCCAACTACTCCCCTGAAGGCTGCTTTACTCAGGCTGGCTGTGCCCCTTTGGCTCCAGTTTCCTTCCCAGTGCTGGTGTTCAACAGAGACTGGATGGAGATGGGATAGAGACCCATCACCAAATCCCACCATCCCACCCAAGACTCTTCTAGGGGAGGGTGATTTCCTCTTCAATGTCCCCCAAATGGACTTTTTTCCCCATCAATGTCCTTTGCTGATGATGAGCATCCCTCCCCAGTGCTGCCAGAAGTTGGGGAGGGTTGGTGCCTTTCCATGAGGAGGGTGGAGAAGACATTTCTGGATGTAGGACAGAGACTGAGCAAACCTGGGCTGTCAGGGCATGGACTAGATGACCTAATAGGCCTCTCACATTCCTGATCTGTGATTTATAAATGCACTTTTCGGTCTCGACAAGCGACTCCAGTAACTGTGAGTTTTCTTTTCCATCTCCATTACCTTTTACATTTTCCTCCCAACGCTTGGAGATGTTTCCAATTATAGGTTCTCACAAGCAAAGGCATGAAGTTCGGGCCTGGGAGATGTTCAGAAAACACCTTTCTGAGTCTTGTATTTTTACTCTTGGCGGGCTCCCTGGAGCTCGGCTCATTCGGCACGAAGCAGCCACTGCTGCCATTTACTGAGTTCCCTCCAACGGGGCCACAGTCCTTCCTCTCTTGACTGCCTGGCAGGTATTTTTCCCTCTTCCACAAAGCAAATTTCTATCTTATTGCATTATAAACCTAGTTCTCTGATGGTGGTCGTTTCAGGCCTTCTAGAATGACACAATCTTGTTGCACCATGTCCCTTTTTTTCACAACGGCGATGAGTTTCAGGCTGAACTCATCTCTCATCCTGACTTGCAGGTGGTTATTCCTGCTTTGCAGGTGGTTATTCCCGCTGTTCCCTACTTGTCTGTAATGGTGAGATGCAGGTACCTCAATGTAGCCTTCCATGTCCTTTAAAGATGTCAAAGACTTTTACCCAGGGTTAGAAAATGTGGTGCAAGACCTGGGATATACGTGCATCCAGGTGGAACTTTCCAAGGCCTCTAAAGTGTCCCCTGGCACCTGTGATTATAAAACTGGTGCCCCATTGTTACAGCATTTCTCAGAGACCTGGAACATTCCTAATTTCTGTGAAGGCTGTGAAACTCTCTCGTTTCGTCTGCCTCCCCCTTACTTGCTTGTTTTGCTGCTGGGACATACCGTGCTGGAGCATTTATCATTTTCACTCTGTTAGTGACGAGCTGCTTTGGCCTCTTGCCCGATTTGCATTTCAGCCCATTCCTGAGAGTTGCTGATAGGCTTTCTGGGATGAGTTTTCACAGGTTCCTGGTGCCAAGTGCTGGGGGCTGGACTCCTCTCACTCAGCTCTGTGCTTATACAGTCCAGATGTCGGTGTCCAGAGCTTGGTGCCTGGATTTCCCTCTATAGACAGTGCAGAAAATGAGCACTTTTAGGGCGTGATGCTATCCTATCGTAGACCTCATCAGGCTAATTACTACCTAGATGTGGCTTTTTCCTTCCATGGGCTGAAGAGGGATCACCATGAGGTCACTGTAAAGGATTTTGGTCAGCTGACATTCTTTCTGTTCAAAATCTCATGCCTCTACTTTCAAGGACATGAGGTATCTAAGAGACCTGAACACCCAGGCTATCGCCAACAGGTTTTGTCTCCACCAGCTCAGGTCCAGCATTATTTGCATCTAAGGCAGGGTGAGCATCCCTCTGGAGGTGCCCCTGTACAGAGCTGCATGCGTAACAGCATGCAAGGGACCAAGGTGAACCACAAGGCAGAATTTCTGATAATCAAATACTCCTCTTTTTCCTTTCCCATGAAATTCACTGGCCAAAATTTCTGTTCACTGTATATTTAAAGAACTTCTTTAAATATACGTATGATGTACATATTTACACAGCCAGGAGAGTGGTGGTTTCCCTTCCAAATTCAGCACTGATTATCCAGTGCCAAAAATGCCGAACTCCAGCCGCCTGGGAGCTTGTCAGTGCAGATCTACTCAGCCCTAGCAAGGATGGGGTGAGCAGTTCTGTGCAGCCCAGAGAGAGCTCCAACATATACAGCAGCTGGTTCAAGCCAGCTTTGAGGGAGCTGGTGAAACATTGATATGTTTTCCTGAAATTTGGAGATCAGACCTAATATCCCGATCTTGGTTAGGGCTCCGTTTTAGCTCCGTTTCCATCTCGTTTAACTTCTGAAGGGCATGGATGTTGCAGCAGTAAAGTGAAATGCACCCAGAAATGTGTCCGCTAATAAGCCAAACCGACCAGGATGGCTCAGGATGAAGCTGAAAGGCATCACATTTAACAAGGAGAGAAGGAAATATGTGTTAAGGCAGTCGTGTTGCCAGGATCAGATGCCAGTTACTGATGCAGCCAGCTAGAAAGTTGTTTTATGGGAATGAATAACATTTATGACTACCCTAAGCAGGTCATAAAGACAGAAAGAGAGTTACACTGCAGGCTTCTGCTGATCACTGTGGGTGCTTGGGGGAGAAGATCCCTGTACAGTGTTGTAGAATCACAGAATTGCCTAGTTTGGGAAAGACCTTTAAGATCGTCAAGTCCAACCATCAATCCAACATTGACAAGTCCTCAACTAAACTATGGCCCTAAGCACTGTGTCTACATGACTCTTAAATACCTCCAGGGACAAGGACTCTACCACTGCCCTGGGCAACCTGTTCCAGTGCCTGAGAACCCTTTCAGTAATGCAATTCTTAATAATATCCAACCTAAACCTCCCCTGGTGCAACTTGAGGCCATTTCCTCTTGTCCTATCACTTGTTACTTAGTTCAACAGAGTTATCCTCACCTCTCCATAACCTCCTTTCAGCAACAGGGTCTCCCCTCAGCCTCCTTTTCTCCAGGCTGAAATGATGCACAGCGGCATTTATTTTTTTCTCTTTTGCCTGGAAACGTTGGCAGTCACACACTGGAAGAACCAATGGGCTCTTTGGGGTGTTATGGTTTCTTCTGTGGTACTCTGCGTGCTGGTGCTAGTGGATTCCTTCTCAGTTTTGACAGTGGTGCTCTTTCTGCAAATGCTCTCATCGGGCTTCTGCACAACATTTTCAGAGACTAGAGAAACAGACTTATCTATATGCAACAGGGATGGAATTGCTGGGGGCCCTTTGCATTAACTCTAAGGGAAAGCATCTGGTTTTCAAACTTGGTGGCTTTTCCCTAGGCGTCGCAGGGGATTTTCTTCATAATTAATTACATGACATTTAGCATAATCCTGAGAGAGTGTGTGAGACGGATGCTGAATGCAAAACACTGATAACACCAACTTCACTTTTTTTTTTTTTTCTTTCCCCCTGAATACCACGGTCTTGGAAGATCCAGCTTTCTGTTATCATGGAACTGATGGGTCATTTTTCACTCTGTTGGGAGGTCCGTCATCTTCATTCTTCAGCAAAAAGCTTCCCAGAAGGATTTACATATTCAGTCAATTTGGCATATGCCCCAGGAGCTTTGTCCAGGCTCTGCTAGATGATGGAGAGAAATGTGCACTTCTAGAGGGTGTTTCTTTCTTAAACATTTCTTCAGATGAGATAAATCACTCTTCATAGTTGCCCATCTTTCTCACCAGTTTAACCTAAGCACCTATTTACAGGTAGCTAAGATTAAATCAGATGAACACAGGCCAAAGCGTGAACTGGAGATAGTGAAGAAATTAATGTTGACTTCAAGACTGTCGTTTTTTGTGGGTCTTAATGCCTTTTTTTTGCATGTGCTTGTCTCCTCAGAGCTCTGTCCAAGACTCCTTCGGCTTTGGCCCTGAATCAAACCCAGCACTGCAAGCAGCTTGAAGGCTTGGTGGTTTCCCAGGTGCAGCTGTGCCGCAGCAACCTGGAGCTGATGCAGACCATCATCCAGGCAGCACGGGAAGTGATAAAGACCTGCCGTAAAACTTTCTCAGACATGAGGTGGAACTGCTCCTCCATTGAGCTGGCTCCCAACTACCTGCTGGATTTAGAAAGAGGTAAATAGCACTGCTGGCTCAGCTGAGGACATGTGTAGAGGAGATGTATGTGTGCTGGGGCTGGGAAGGATCTTGCTTCCAGGGGGGATGTGGAGGGACTGCACAGCCCGGTCGTCCTGTTCTCTGAGATCACGTTCATCATTACGGTGCCAGTCACTTCCAGGAGCTCTTGAGTCCAAGACTCGGTCTCCCACAGCTCTTACAAAACATGCCACCAGTCTGGTCTGCTCGTCTCATTAGGAGTCACGCTGGACTTGCTCACAACCATGGAGCTGCTGTTCAGGGCGTGCAGACTTGTCAAGCAGCACACGCTACATGTGAGGCTGCACAGTCAGCTTCCATGGGTCAAACAGCCTCGTGTGCTTGTGCTGTAGCTCTGTAGCCTCCAGCCACTTCCCCTAGCTCCATGCATGCCAGCTCCATGACCTGCTGGCAAGCAGCATCCAGCACAGGGGCCAAAAGAGGCAGAAGAGTCCATGGAGGGGGCTGCTTCATGTGCTGCAAGAGTAGATCACACCATGTTGAACAAGTTGCACGTGTCCATGTGTCTCCTTGCCCTTGGTGGGAGGTTGCCTCCTGCTGCAGAGCTC